AAAAAAAAAAAGAAGAAAAAGAAAGTTAAATGCATGAAATAAATTTCGGTCAAATTGGGATTAAACGTGTCAAGAATCTGTCAACAAAGTTACAATAGCATACAACTTCATGGTTCTCGCATACATGGAATCCAAATTCACAACTCTCTCCCCTTTCCTTTCCTTTCCTTTCCCATTCCCTTCTGTATTTCCTTTTTTCTTATGTACATATATATTGATGGATATCTCCACGTCTTCTTTTTCTTCGGATATTCGAGCTAAAATTTGAGTTAATGACAAAAGCTATGACAAATTTTAAGTTAATTCAGAAGAGACTAAAATTTTGAGTGAATTTTACTCAAGCCACAACAAACTATGAGAACGGTGGAAACAAGAACTACCATCTTAAAACAATTTCAGAGGAAAATATGACCACCTGCGTTGCCATTTGTTACTACAGATTGAATAAAATCTACATGGGGACCCAACCAAATCAACCCAACAATAGCAGCTACTATTAAGACAATCAGAAGTCCCCATCTGCTCTAGTAGCCTCACCAGGCACGTTTAGTGCTTGGTTTACTGATAGTGGTGCCGGCAACCATGTCACTCCATGGATATGATCTCATACCCATAGTGAGTAACCCCACGGCAACGGTCAGCATACAATTTTTGACAATTCAACGTCAAATTGTCAAAAATGGAAGGCCCATGTCAGCAGTGAGGAAGATAATTCCTACCCACGTAGGACATCATTTCTATGTCACTCCATAGATGAACAAGTTTAACCGAATCAGCAGCTACAATGGTAAGGGGATGTTGTCGATTGGAAATGGTAACAAGTTAAGCATTTGTAACATTCGCACTGAATACTTGCTCATTATTAGAAAAAAATCCAATATTTCTCCTAATTCTAATCCTAATTCTTATCCGAAGAAATCGAATCGGCAGAAGAGAAACCAACATGATACATCCAAATAAATAACTTACCTGAGTCGATTTTGCCGGCGTCGTCGAAAGAGATTTGGAGAACTTGATTTTGACGTGGAATCTCCCTAATTTTATTTTAGTTTTTGAGAAGAAGCGTGTGCTATGAAGCAGTGTTGGGGAGAAACTTTTGGGCTTCTTTTATAATTGACGAGGGTTCTGTAAAGCAGGGTTGAGGAGATTCTATAAAATCTTATTTCATTATGTAAGCTCCCGTTTGTTTCTCATTTTTCATTCATAAAAATGAAAAATATGATCAATATCCATCACATCAAGCCATCAATTTTGAATTTCTATCTATTGTGTGGGACACAATAACGATTATATTTTTCATTCTCATTCTACAATAATGAGAATCAAACGGACCCTAAGTATTTTTTATATTATTTTTCTTGAATTCTTTTAAAAAAATGTACATGAAATATTTTTCCGTACCTAGTTTAATTAAAAGTACCATGTCCCAAGCCCCAAAAAATGAGGGTTTCAAAAAAAAAAAAAACTATTTTTTTTAAATGAAAAAAAATGAAGAGCTTGTAAGAAGCTCGGCCTACGAGGCCCATGAGCCGATGGTCCGAACTGAGCTGCTATTTTGGACACTAGTCGAGCTTGCGTATTTAAGGGCCGATCCGGCTTGTTCGTGGGCACACCTAGCTTCTATTTAGACATTTCAAAATTTGGGCCTAAAATAGTTGGAGCCTCTTTCTCGTGGCCCTTTCTCTTGTCCAACTTACCCGACAAAAGCCATCAAGATTTCATGCGGACAATAATGTTATTGTTTCTCAATGTGAACAAAAGAAAGTTAAAGGAGATTTCAAAAAGAACAAGGGGGATAATGCCTACCCTCAGTTTCCTGTCCCATTAAAACCTGTCATCAACATTTGCCACCTCCAGCGGAGGATAATGAGCATTAAGTCAAGAAAAGTGAGTTAAAGGAGCTTTTAACAAAGTAAAGTTCTCATTAGAAACAAAGAAAGAATCATATGCTCTCCCCACAATTTTATATATATATATGCAACAAATATCACCAAAATCCAATCATTCAACAACTTCATCTTCTCCAGATAGTTACCAAGAAAACCTGCAACTATCAAGAAACTAGAAAATCGACACATCAGTAGGCTTATCAGGGCAAGTATAGGTAAGGGACATGAGATATTTTTCAGATATATAGTTTCTTTTCCTGTCAACATAGTTCTCACCAGTTAATTTGTTTTGCTTCAGAATTACAATATATCATCATAAGCAGCTCTTCAGATTCATATAGTGAATATGGCCAATGTAAGTTCCTCAAAACTTTATAGTATGACACACAAAATTTGTAGTTATATATATGCACAATTATTTCTTGTGATCACAGTTATGCAAATATTTGTCTATGATTAGGTAGTGGAGTTGAAGGTAGGCTTACACTGTGATGAATGCATCAAGAAAATCTTGAAGGCCATCAAGAAGATTGAAGGTAGTGTTTAGATTTCCTTTCAAAAAATTCTATTCTCGGACTGTTGCTCGACAAATATAATCTGTTTTGTTATTCTAAGCAGTTATTCTATTTTTGGTAATGAAGAACTTGTTATTCTTAACTCTTGGGCTTCGAGCCCTTTTTTTCATGCTTTTCCCGGAGATCTGGAGAAAGCTGCAATCAAAGCCAAATCTAAAAGAAACATGTAGTCTCTCTACCGATCTAATTTTTCAAATGAGGTGATTGAGCACCTGTTTCGTCCGGATTAAAATCTGATTTTAATCCAAATCAAAGTCAAACAATCAATATCAACCACATTTTTTATGGGTCCCACAACTTTTCAACCACACATTTCAAAAACTTCTATCATAATTTACTAAAAATCTAATTTTAATCTTCACCATTAACTGGTAGAGATATCAAATCTTCGCTCCCCCCATTATTCAACAGCTTGTTTATATGTAACACCCCAAAAAGTTAAAGATTTCTGTTGATGCTTGATGCAGATATAGAAACATACGACATTGACACAAAATTAAACAAGGTTACTGTAACTGGCAATGTGACAACTGAAGAGGTCATCAGGGCTCTTCACAAGATTGGGAAACAAGCAAGTTTATGGGATGAAAATTCAGCAAATCATCCTACAAACTAGACTGTCATGCCATTCCACTCTATATTTGAAGGCCATACCTGCATCAGTTTCAAGCATCAGAGATATTGTAACATAGCAAATTGATGATACAGGCTAAACTATAGCCCCTGTGAATTTCCTTCTTTCTGTTTTCTTGGTTTTGTTACATCCTATAAAGGGATTTTTGTGCACTATGTTTATTAAAGAGTACTAATGAATTTTTGGAGAATGATATACTTAATAGATATAAATTAATGAAACTACTACTTTAAGCTATTGATGTGCATATTTTCTGTAGTAGAAAAAAAAAATCTTCGTAGATAGGTAATGGGACAATTAAAAACAAAGGATAAAACGAAAATTGAAGAGAAATTTAAACGATCTTTTCTCTTTTTCGTAAGCCATTGTTTGAGGGCCTGTTTTAAGATTGTTAAAATTGAGTTTGATTTGTCATTCTAAAAGTTGTTTCTCAAGTCAAAACAAAAAAAACAAGTTCAGTTTGAAATTTTGATAAAATAATAAAATATTTTTTCGCTACAAAAGTAATAAAACAAAATAATAATAAATTGAGTTGGCAAAACATAGGAAATAAAAAATAAAAATTAATGATGTGAAAGGAGAATTTTTTATCTATGTACATTTATTTATTTTTTTTAAAAAAAAATCATTTTATGCAAATAACAATTAAAAGCTTCAACTATTTTTATTTATTGTAATATTTATTTTTCTAAATTTTTTTAGAAATTTACTTTATATAATTTGTATTTTCTATATTTTATTTTTATTTTTATTAATTTATCAATTTTTTATTGTTTTGAATTCTATTTTTTGGAATTTTATTTATATATATTTTTTAGAATTTTTGATTTTTATAATTTTATGTAAATAAATTTTATTAAAATACTTATTTCTCAAGTTTTGAATGTTTTAAGGATTTTCAATATCAAAAATGCGTTTTGAGTTCTATGATATAGATTTAACCTTGGTTTTAAAATGTATTTTGAAAATATCAAATCATACAAGTTTTGAGTATTCTGTAGAATTGAAAATTGAAAATTGAAAAAAGCAAACCAAGCACATCCTAAACGATTCTAACAAAAGTTTTGGTTCGAGGGCTCCGCCTCCAGCAACCTCCGGACCTTCAACACCACGACATCATGGAGGTCGATCCGCATAATGATTGTGCAGAATGACATTAATTATACTCCCAAACATAACACTTGTCACTATGCACTGAAAGGGTATATTAGAAATATGATTAAAATTATTTTGACCTTAAATATGTTGGCTATATTTCAGTTTCTCTCTCCTCCATCCTGTAACAACCACCTTAGTCAAGGCCACCAAAACTAGAGGTAACCCTGCTATTAAGGTGTATGTGTAAATGCGTGTGTGACGAAAACTAAACTATTGGAGTTTTTCTTGACTCCCTTTTCCCTTTTATTGATATTTCCTTCTGAAAAATCAGTGTTTCCAACTGGAATTCCAACAGGAAATTAAGAGAAAGAAAAAGATTACATATTGGAATATAATGGGAGATCAAGGGAATGCATATATTGTTTGTCAAACTGCAGATAAGATTGCAACTTTCGGTGTATGGATAAAGAGAAATCCTTTAAATTATTCTGTGCCTCTTATTTTAGTGCAATTCTCACTAATTTCTTTAACATCAATGCTGATTGATATCTGCCTCCGGCCTCTTGGACAATCATCTATGGTCACTCAAATTTTTGTAAGGATTCTTCTCTCAGCTTATGCATGGCCAAAGTCAGTAACTTTTTTCTTTCATTACATGTTCTCTTTTAAGCGATTCGGGAATAATTAATCGATGAACGACTTATGCAGTCGGGGCAATTAGAATAGTAGTGAGACGTATGGCTGCAAATAACAATGAATCGAAAAAGGATTCGCATAAATGTATTCTAAATTTTATTGAGAAAATTTATTGTTGTTCACGTAATGGAATACAGAAAGGAATACGGTGATATTAGTGCATGGAAAGGGCTAATATTGTTTTTATTTCTTGGACAAGTTGAGAATCTTCGATTTTCCCAAGAACAAATGTCATCATTTTGTTAAAAACATATTGATACTTTCTGATTTTTTTGGTGTGGAATATTGAATAGTGTTAGAAAGCTAAAATCTTACTTACATTGTCGAGTCTTGTCCAATACTATATAACAAACATTCATGGATATGTTATAGCTATAAGGTGTAAAATTACTGAAATATAGCTAACAATATTTGCTTTGCAACCAGGGTGGAATATTGCTCGGCCCTTCACTATTAGGACACAGAGGTTCCATAGGAAGATTATTATTTCCTCCAAGGGGTGCGGTGACATTTATAACAGGAGCAACATTCGGTCTAATGTTCTTCTTTTTCGCAATAGGCGTAAAAGCAGATCCGATGAAGATGATCCGACCAGGAAGGCAGGCAGCTGTCTTAGGTATCTCAGCAATGTTCGTTACATTGGCGCTTACTTTGCCATTAGCTTTCATATTGATTCATTATGTCCCTATGGATGGGACTCTTGCCGAATCACTACCTTTCATTGCAGCTTCGCAATGTCTAACGCCATTTCCAAACATCTCGTGCCTACTTACGGAGCTTAAGTTGTCGAACAGTGACTTAGGCCGTATTGCCATATCAGCATCCATGTTATGTGATATAATTGGCATGACCTTAGTTGTAATATTACTTTCAATATTACAGGCGAATTTCAATCCACTCCAATCAGCGGTGGGAATTGTAGCAGCATTTCTAGTTGTGGTTTTTTTGGTGTATATAATTAAGCCTCTTCTATTAAGAATTCTGAGAAGAATACCACATGGGAAACCTGTGGGAGAGAACTACATCATTGGCACTTTTACATGTGTTCTTGCAGTTGGAATAATCAGTGAGCTAATTGGCCAGCACTTTGTACTTGGACCATTGGTCTTAGGTTTGATGGTGCCCGAAGGGCCACCTTTGGGAACAGCTCTGATTTCGAAACTTGATATCCCGGTAGGAAAGATATTCTATCCGATATATCTCACAACGAGTGGTCTGAAAACAAACATTTTCACAATTCACCTTCAATCATTGTGGATTGTGTTTTGTGTAGTTATGTTTTCTTGCATAGTCAAGATTGGAGCAGTAGTATTGTCGTCTAGATATCTGCGTATAAACTTTCAAGACTCCTTCGTGATTGGACTCATGTTGAATGCAAGAGGCGTTTGCGAGCTGATTGTTTACAACTTGTGGAAGGATGGCCTGGTAAGACTGAAGATCACATATTTTCAGTTGAGTTTGTTCGTAATTAACAAAGTCGATTTATATCTAAACTGATATGATACTGATTTAATGACAGCTTCTGACAGATCAAGAGTTCTCCATTTGTGTTATAGCGTTGATTGGAGTTACTGCAATCATAACGCCATTAATAAAGATCATGTATGATCCTTCTAAACAACATGCTCCCCTCAAGAGGAGGACGATTCAGCATGCTAAACGGGATGTTGAGCTCAGAATATTGGTTTGCCTCCAAAACCAGGATAGTGTACCAACCATCATAAACCTACTCGAAGCTTCTGATGCAACGGAAGAAAGCCCAATTGCGGTCATAGCAGTCCTACTTGAAGAGGTAGTAGGCCGAGCCAATCCCTTGCTCGTTGCTCATCAATCCACGAGAATCCTGCTGCCAAACAACTCTAAATCAAGCCATATAATAAATGCCTTGCGTCAGTATGAGCTTTGCAATGAAAGATGCGTCACTGTCCAATCATTTAGTGCCATCTCACATGCGGAAACAATGCACGAAGACATCTGTAGAGTAGCACTTGACCAGAATGCTACAATTGTGATTCTACCTTTTCACAAGCACTGGGAAATTGATGGCTCTATTGGGTTACTGAATCGCTCTATTCAGACCATGGACATCAAAGTCTTGGAAAAGGCCCCATGTTCTGTTGGCATTCTCGTTGACAGGGGAACTTTAACAGGATCAATGTCTATTCTCAACACTCAATCCATCTATCGTGTTGCTGTCATCTACATTGGCGGTCCAGATGATGCAGAGTCGCTCTATTATGGCGCGCGAATGGGGAGACATAACAATGTCACTCTAACACTTGTTCGTTATCTTCTTTTTGGAAGCGACAACGCTAGAGAAAGGAAACAAGATAACATTCTCATAGAGGACGTTCGACAAGCTCACAATGGAAACCAGAATTTCATATACCAAGAACAGCTTGTGAAAGATGGGGTAGGCCTAACAGCGTCCCTTAGAGCCTTGGAAAATAACTACGATTTAATGATAGTTGGAAGGAACCACCAAGCATCACAAATCCTAATGGGGCTTAGTGCATGGAGTGAGTGCCCGGAACTCGGAGTGGTCGGAGACATTTTAGCGTCTACAGATATTGGAAGCACCGCCTCAGTACTGGTAGTACAACAGCAAAAACTGCCTGGAGGAAAGTTGAAGAGTAGAATGATGAAACCAGTGATAGTTAGTCTAGAAACAGGAGTTGAAGCATCAGTCCCTGTTGCAGTAACAACACCAGTATCTAATGATGATACTAAATGGGAGATTGCAATAGATAGAGAGAGGGATTAGGGGTTTGTTCATACAACACATTTAATTTTGTACACTTTTTCTTGTAATCATAGGACGAAAGAGCCATTGTAGAAACTGAAGAAAATCATACAAATTTTTGTACAAAATGTATGTGATAGAGCACTCTTTCAAGAATCAAAATAAAAGTTGAATTCTAATAAAGAGTTGAATTGTAATGAAATACATTTTTTCAACTAGATTTTGCCACTTTGCCAAAAGATATATAATAGATGCAGTGATATAATTCGAGTTGGCAGCATATGATTTGATGGAAAAACTGACGGTGTTTAAATCAGTTCAATGATGGAATGTCATGAACATGATGTCTAGGATTATGTCAATGATTATGGTACCGTAGAATGATTGTTTTCAGCCACTGGTGGGAATTTTAAGGGAACTAGGCCAAGTCGCCAAGAATGTACCTCCCAAAAACAATTAAGTGCAAACACAAAAGATAAAAGCCAAAAGGCATGAAATGAAATAAATAAATACCTTCTTCCGTTTCTTGGGATGGGACCATCTTTGAAAAACTAAGAGAAATTAATTATACACATAAATAATTTAATTTGAATAACATTAAAGTTTAATAGCAACTGACATTGAAATAAATCCACGGGCTATCTTTCACATAATTGGATTCTTTTGGACTTCGACATGTGCAAATAATGCATTGTTCATCACAATTTAATTTTTGTTTCGCCCGAATTTCACTTAGATTTCTTAATTAGTTATGAGTTGAGTTCTTACGTTGATTTAAAAGGTTATTTCACCTAAACATTGTAAACTATTATAAATTTTAAACTTACTATTTAAAATAATATGATTTTATTTTTAAATATATTTGGTAGTACTATATGCACCGCACTCACGTTCCTTAGCTTTCGTGATGAACATTCTTCAACTCCAATTAAAACACAAATACCTCAATATTGGAGTGCTATATTTTAGATAAGGATTGTTTTTTGCATTTTTCATCTGTCAAAGCATCGATTAGAAAAATGTACTCTGGACAATATGATTCACTGCATGTATGGTTTTGGTGCTACCCTTCTCATTGATCCCATTGACACAAAACTTGTCCTAAACTTTGAATCCCAAACTGGATAAAAGATCAAAATATTCCAAGTATAATTTTTAGAATTCATGTAGCTTAATCAGCATTTTTGGGTAGTTATTGTAAGGTGTAGGGTAAGGGGGTAGGGGTGGTACCAACAATTGAAATGGATATTTCAAGTGCATTCAACATGAAACTGAACTTACGAATTTTCCCTATTGGAAGCTTTATCCATTGAGTCATGAAAGCAAAGAGGCTCTACGAGTGAACTAGGTGTTCGTAAGGTAGGATAGATGGTTAAGGGTAGGGCGTAGGCATAGTTAGGGATGACAAAAAAATCTGTTTAACCCGATATCCGTGGGTCCCGCCCCGAACGGGGCTGGGATATGACGATGTTCATTGCCCTGAAGCAGGTATGAGACGAATACGGGAAACATAATCTCCGCCCCACTACCCACCCCATTTAAAAATAATTCCAAATTTAAGTTTTTTATCAAACAAAAATAATAGATTTATCATCCTTTTTTAAGAGAATATAAGTTTTTTTTTTTAATAAACTGGTAAAAAGTAATAATATTTACTAACTAAAGATATAAAAAGTTAAAAGTAAAATATAAAATAAATAAAAAATAAAAAGAAAAAATAAATGGGGCATAAAACTTATCCCGCCCCGTCTCGCTTTAAGCGGATATGGGTATGCGGATGAGGTAAGGTAACAAAAAACTTGACGGAACGGGGATATGAATAGCCAACACATCACAAACCCTCCTCGTTGCCATACCTAGGCATAGTGAGCGAGATGGATTCTCCACTCTTTTTAGGACATTCATATCTATGGGTTAGTCAATATTTTTTGAATTATTTTCTGTAATAATTAGTTTCAAGGTGTAATAAATATATGAAATTGTATAATTATACAAATTCTTAAATTATTCATTTAGGGTATTTGATCGGCATGTATGAACATTCGTTAAAACAGTTGTGGTCTCCTAAGCTACCACCGTTTTTGGATGCTCGAAATACAAATCTTAACAAGTAAATCTAGATTTTTCTCTCAGTTCTTCACCATTTTCCCAAAATCAAATACCTACCCTCCTCTCTTTCGCTCCCTTCCCCATTTTTCTTCGGCAGTCGACTTCCCTCTAACCGTCTTCATACCTCCGGCCTTGTTGTCACAGTAACCGAACTCTTTGCTATCTCGTGTAAAGTCTGAAATTTTTGAATTTTTCGAGAGTCATCTGTTGTTGGTATACTTGTAAGCTTTGCCCTTTGTTATAGTTTTCATTTTGACAAATTGGGAATGTTGACATTAAGTATGTTTGGGTTTAATTTTTGAGAACAAATGTGAAAGCAGTACCCTGTTTGCTCTTAGCTATACGTGGAATTTCAATTTAGTTAGATTAATGAGTGGAAAACAAGATATATTGGTATTTGACTATAAAAATTTGTCTTTGGGTGATTAAAAACTAGATATTTCATAAAATGTGTAAAGGGATTTTTTTCTTTTATTTGTGACATGAAGATTATGTTTACATCTTAGACTTTCAGTTTATTGTCGATACGGATTTGGCTAATATGAATTTTGAAATAATGACCATAATTTCAAAATTTCATTTGACTTGATTTTTTTGTTTGATTCCATTATTAGAATGGTTGGAAAGAATTTGGAAGTTTGTCACAGTTGCAGGCGTAAGGGGCATTTCTTTAGCGAATGCTAGACAAAACGTCGATGCCCACAGTGTAACAAAGGTTTTCAAAAGTGTTTTGAGGTTGAAAATGATACTACAAACAAAGGAAAATTCTTCAATTGTTGCACTGACAAATGTGGATTTTGGGAGTGGTGCAACATTGAAGAATCAAGTGGTAAATCGAGGGACATTAACCATACTGAAATTGATGATATGTCCTGCATGTCCCAATCTCAAGTTCGATTGAAAGACGAAGAAGAAATCCATATACCTCCGAACGTGACAATCCACAAGAAGTAAAATGCTGATTAGTAAACACGAACAGAAGGAGTCGGGTTAATTAGTATGGGTTGATTTCTTAGCTATTTGTGTGTGCTTCTTAAGCAATCAAACAATCAAGATTGACAGTTTTTGTATGTTAATTTCTAGCTGTTTGAATGTGTAATGGATATTGAACCACTTTAATTTCGAAGTAGTAGATGTGTGGTAGTCGGTCCAAATAGCATGTCTGCCTGGAACTTGTAGTTCCTGTTTTGGTGTCTTTGCAGCATGCATCTTTGTGTATTTGTAGCCTGAATGTAGTGTCTTGTAATAGCAGCAACTTATTGTTGTATTAGCATCATCCATTTTCATATTACTTTGTTTGGTTTTCTACGCAAATTGTTCGGCAATTGTATATGGCATTTTTCATTAAGTGGTAGCCTCCTTCGTGATGATACATCCATATGTTTTGTGCTCCTTCCTGACTACTACATATTCATGTAGCAGATTAACATCCAATATCACATAATAGTTATCATCAGCCCCTTGATAAAGTCTATAAACATGATAGAGAAATGAAAACTGGACAGTAATTAGCACAAGAAAATGCCTGCCAAACTCATCCAACCGAACTCTAGGTTGGGAGGAAATCTGACTTATTACAGCTTCTATAGATGATTCCGCCATGCCATTTTCAACACACTTAGAACCCACTTACCAACTTGAAGACAGTCCCACTAATGGATTCGGGATAAGTAAGGGGATAAAAACCGAAGTTGTACAATAATAAATGGTATGCCATTGCAGCTAATGTTATAGTTACTACATTTATCAAGTTAAGAATTGAAATCAGATGCCATTTGCAAAATGGAAGATCCTTGAACAGTAATCATAGGTACACTTGAATCTTATAAAACCACTTGAGAATATTTATTACTAGCATTTCATCAACCATACTTAATTTTTTAACCATGTAACTCCACTGACTTTGTCCCGTCATAATCTCGTGCCTCCTTGATGTGGTAAATGTTAATAATAGTATGGAATATCAATTTTGTTACCTTGAGGATTGAATACAAAATACGTTGACGACGGATGGATCGAATTAGACGACGGATACAGTTGTGTAAACAAATAGCTTTCCTCGTGACCCTATAGTAAATAAAAAAGTCAATAATGAAGTAACTTAAAAAAGAGCAAATGGAAATGCTATAATTAATATACTAGCTATTAAGAGTTGTGAATATATGCCTGGTGAACACGTGGAAGATTGTCTTCGTTGAGATGCATCAACGTCGGATGCACCCACTGGTATACTGATGTGCATCATTGTTGGTCGCTTCCCTTTGCATGTCAAAGGTACCTACATGTACATCCGAAATGAATGAGAAAATTTTTATTATTCAATTTAAGTTTAGAATAAAACAAATCAATATACCTTCATCTTCTTTGAAGTCGACTCTAAAAGGCTCTTTCTCCGAAGTTTTTTAGGCGAGCCCTTTCTCTTTTTCTATTTAGGATCCCACACGCCTACAATGCACGTATTTTGTGAACTGGTACACTAAGATCATAACTGAATAGTATGCTGAGTAAAAATATTGCTTCCACTAATCTACTTTGTCATCGAAACCTCTTTAGATTAACTTGTCTATTCCATTATCGCATGGGTCCCAGCTTCATCATTTGCTGCAAGGTTTGCCATCTCGATGAAAGCTTGACATATGTTGTCATATCTTAATTATCTTGAAGTACTAACTAGCCCATCGTATTTTATTGCGATCCTCATGTACGGTCGATTGACATCCTCCACCTATGCAGTTTGTGGTCGAGGTGCACCATGTTAATTCTCTAGTAATAATGATTATCTGTAGATGTAAAGATCCTGCCTTTACAACTTATCTAAATTGTTGGTTGCGGCTTCAAAGAATCGCTTGTGCTGCCGCTTCTTAGACCTTTACGATTACACATGAAAGTCACATATCGCACAACTCCATCGT